CGGCAGACTGCGCGGTGTACTGCGCGGCGAGCGCGGTATCTTATACGAAGAGTAGAGGCGCGCCGGACGCTCCGGACGCTCCGGACGCCTCCGTGCTGCTCACTCGGTTTTACTCGTTTGTAAATAGTTACGTTTACGAGCGTCTCGCTCACTCTTGCGTAGTGAAATACCTTTACAATATTAATTCACAAATCGGACAAACAAACTGAGTTTTATTTCTTAACGAATTTCGTCGATGATCATTTGTAGTCTTCTGTGTGGCAGTTTTTTTTTATTTTGTAAATTTTTTAATTCGTAAATATAATAAGTCCTCGACAAGGTGACAATGTAGATTTAATATTTAGAACGAGGCATACGACTGTCTTATCGCTGATAGTACGCATAACATTTTAAGACTTTCTTGTGTCGCAAACTAAAAATGTTTGACTCGAATCTACGAGTGTATGTTATGGTTGTAAAGAACTCGATTCTGCCCCAAGTGGGCAGTACAATTGTACTACACGGTGTATGAACTGAATACTTATGTTTAGTACATCATTACGATGTTTGGCAGCATGCAGTAACTGTGCCATTAATTGTGCAATATCGAAGTAAAGTTGTGCGCAGACAGGTTTGTCGTCGGTGCAGTGGACATCGCAGTCATCGGAGCGTCCACTCATTTCCCCGCCGCGGCTTTTGTATTGTGCCCGTTTTTATTGAATGCAAATATAAGCAGAATTTCTTTACGTACAATAGAGAAGCGGCTGCCGTGACGTCACCGCGGCGGGGCGGGGCGGGGCGGGGCGCGCGGGCGCCTGTAGTTTAGTTAGGCTTAGATTAGAGTATCGCTGACGGTTGTTTAGAATATATCTTAACACGGGAACTTTAAGAGATTAAATAAAGTGTTAATTAATTATGTACTGGGCAGTCAATAACCGACTTAACTTCGCTGTGCAATGTATGTCGCGTGTGGGCGTGTGGGCGTGTGGGCGTGTCCGTGCGGCCGGGTGCCCCGCCCCCGTCGCTCGGCGCAGGCGACGCGCTAGGTATAGATTTGGATTAAAATTAATTAGGTTTAATGATCGGAAATAAGTTAGTCGACGAGATAGGCTCTATTTTTGTACCGGCCATCGAATCTCGCACGGGCTTAGATTATTTTATCGTTAAGACTGAACCGAACTGGCAGCCGCCACGCGGTTTTATATTTGAAGACTTGAAGGTGGGACCCTGAGGTAGTAACGGCCGACACCGTCATCTGTCGCACTGTTAAACAACGTCAAGTCTCAATATAGCAAGAAAATTAACCGTTTCCTCTGAAAATCACGAAAAACTATCATTAAAATCTGTCCAGTGGTGTCGGACACATGTACACTTGCATAAGGAACAGACATTGATTATTATTAATAAGAGATTACTGGTTCAGTTTTTACTCATAAAATAAACCGTTTTTAAATTTATGATGTGACCTGTTGTTTGGTGTGCGATGTGGGTGAGGTGAGGGCGGGGGCGGCGGCGGGGGCGGGGCGCGGAGGTTCGTCGAATCCATTGTTATAAATATAATTATATCAATAAATTTTCTATTGTAAATTAATATTATGTCTTATTTGCCATCCTTTCTGCATCACCGTTGTGATTGTGGGCGAATTGTACGTTTTTAACATTACAATATTCTATGAGACAGAAAGTATTCACTTGTAATTTGATCATAAAAGTAACAAAATATGTATGGAAAATAATTTTAATATATCAAATGAACCAAAAACATTTATTTCACATGGGATAAATTGTAACAAGTATAAATATATCTTAAATAACTACATTTTAGGTGTCTTTCATTGTCTGCAGGTTGCCCTTGTAGTTAATGACTACCTCTTGTCAATGATCTCCAGTCTGTGTTGTGAAGAATTGTTACGTCTCACAACACACACAACTCTACTGAAATGCAACAAGCCTCGTATAGACCAACACCTCATACTCAAATATATTTTGATTTCAATTAATTATTTTATTTTATATTTAAATCTCAGAAGATCAATGTCTCATAGATACATTTTTAATATTTTTTCAACTTTGTTCAACAGATAACACTCAGAGAAAGGGTTACAATACTATTACATTTTTATTATCTATACAAAAATTGAGATCTTTCTCTACATGTATCACACCAGACATACTCCTCTATAAATTGAATATGACATCTGACGCCAATCCTGGCATATTCACAGCGGAATGATTCAATCTATCCCGGTCGCCAGGACTATAAGTTTGCAGTGCCTGACTTCTCCACCAGCTCCAGCAGGGTATGCAGGGAGGTGTCAAACAGCTCGCAGCGGATGGGCATCTCCAGAGAGTAAAAGGGGTTCTTTAGCGCATAGTCCGAGTAAAGCTCATAAATGCGCTTCAGGACCGCCTCCGCCCCGGCCATGCTGGGCTCTGTCACCACAATGAACTTCACACCTAACAATATACAGACATAATTAACTTAATAATCCTACAAAAGCAAATAGTCATATATTGCATCTTCTTGAAGAATTTAACCTGTTAATGTCTGGAAGCAGGCCAGCTTGAATGTATCTGCGGTGAGGAGCTCGATGCCCGAGGACTTCGGCACTGGGCTGAGCTGGCTGGCCAGTGCAAACAGCGGGTAGAACATGCTCGCCAGCACTATCTTCTCATTAGTTGTGGCTCTAGCACGACCAAACTTCAAACTTAGAGGGTAATTTTCCTGGAATTTGTGACAAGTACAATATTAGATGGTGGTAACCTAACATTGTAGTTTTTGTAAGAAAGCATAGATTAGAATTTAAGAGATTTAACTGTAGTTAAGTCAGGCTTAACTGTTAGTCCTATTACTAAAGAATAGTTTAGCAATGAATATGAATTTACCTTAGCTTCAATAAGATCAAAGACATCTCTTCCATCCTCAGTGGTGCGGCCGGCCACCGGCGACCCATTCACAGACAGCAGCATATGCCCAACTGAAATATGTACATTCAAAAACATTGCTAAGTCAGTTAATGTAGAACATAGATAGAATGTAGATCAATATAAGATTATAACTTGTAAAAGTTAACACAGAAGGAGTAACTCATAATTTACCATTAATTCCATCTCTTTGGCCGAAAACAACGACAACTTTCTTATTTTCATACTGTAGCTTTATATCCAGCGGATAGCCAAATGTTTTTTCCGTTTCAACTTTTGGTATGCTGTGATCATAGTTATAAATCAACCCGCCGGATTTACTCACTATATAAACTCCGTATATAACCATTTTTAGTTAATTTCTATTTCTTATTTGAATACATTTATGATAATAATTAAAACAAATTGTAAACACCTCCAAAGAAATGTCAACTTTGACAGGCATATTTTGATTTTGAAACTTGACATTGACAGTTACAGCAGATGATAGTCAAAGGTAGGCGCAGTAAAAAAATAAAAACTAGTTTTTATGTCGTGAGAAAACCCACACGGGAACAGCTAGTTTGTAATTCTCGGGCTGTATACAGGATTATAGGTCATCTCTTCGGTACAGTTGCACTGTGATTTGGCATATTCAGTGACGAGTTATATGTTATAGGTTTTCGCGGTTCAGCTCATTATAGGTCACCACTGAGGAGCTCGCAGCCTACCCTAGTCTAGGGTGACTATGCCTGAGTCAATCACGCCTGCCCAGTGGGTGTTGTTTGACTTTACACATAACTTTAAAACATCGCCAACATGTGCAGGTCGCATCACAATGTTTTCCTTTACTGTAGAAACGTCTGGTAAATCGTGTACAAATGAAACTCGAAAATCACACTGGTACCACTCAGTGCCACTTATTTGCAGTATTACACCCCAGGTGCAGACTAAGGGAGGCTGTGAAACGATACCGGAACCCTTATGTTCGGCAGAGTCGTATTTAAACAACGGTTATCTAAGTAAATATGAGTTATAAACGCCAATAACCTAATGGTTTGTGGTACGGATTATCGATCTTGGGGCCGAGCGTTCGAATCCAGCCACTCGACTATTATGCCGAACCATATCTTAGCAGGCTGCTGTCAGGCGACGTTTCCACCTTCTCCATCTCCCCTCTTTGTCTGCTCCCCTCTCCTCATCTATCCTAGCACAAGCATTAGTTGCACCTTAGTTGGAATGGTTAAAGTGCATATTAGTGAATTAACAAATATCTGCTAATATAAAAAAAAATAATTCGAATAAACTTGACTTTATTAACGAAGCTAGCACACAGCTTTTTTCAATCGTGTAAACTTTTCCTGTATCTATTGTTACACCTGATTATAGAAAATGTGTATAAACACCAGAATTATAAAGCAATTATTTATAGATGAAAGTTGCACGCATGTTTACGTCTAATTTGAAACTGGTAGGTGTGCGTTTGATTCATGAGCTGTTAAATGTTTAACGTTTGTTATTGTGAGGGAATATTGTTACGAGTGGTGACGGAGTAGGAGCACTGAGGCCTACTCTACACTGCGCCGGCGTTGGCAGCACGTCATTGACGACGTCAGCTGTTGTGGCTACGCTGCTTGTCCCGTGTACTATGTCGGCTGCGGTGGGCGGATGCTAAATGCAGATGTGCTAGTTAATTTAACCAACGTATTAAAACCGTCCGTTATAAACAAAGTACAGTTTACGACGGGGCGGTTAAAAGCAGATATGACATAACAACGTGTGGGTTTTAATTGAGTTTTTAAGAATGGTTACTCACTTGTGCCTTTATCATTATTTATTTCAAAGATCGATCCGTCATGAAATCTCAATCCTTTCCAAGCGGCATAGGAGGGTGTACTGTACACATTAGTATGAATTACTGTTGAGTGTAACATTTTTTATTAAAACAGAATACTGTTACTGTTTCTTAAGAAGGTGGCAAACTATGGAGCCTAGTTTAGGACAATAAACAACTGCAACAATCTGTTGGCATGCTCACGCGTTGCCTTTGGTTACCTCTATTCTTTCATTCTATTCTCTCCTTAAATTTCCTCTCTCCTTAAATTTTATAATTGCTTTCTTACTACCTAAGGAATAAACAATATTACGAAAATAATAACAATCTTAGTAAAAAATGTTCGAAAACTGTATGAATATTTACAGCAGTTCATTTTTAAACATGAGTACAATCAGTTAGCCACTAGGTTACAATAAATAAAAAAGCAGTGACTGCGGTTGCGCCTTCGTTGCGTGCTTAAATCCTATTTCCACTGAGCAGTTAGCCGCACGCGACCACGATTTGTACGAAGTCACGTTCTATTTTATCAGCGACGACTGTATGAAACAAGTGTAATGCAAGGTCGCAGTCGCACGGGTGATCGCTAAGTGCAACTAGGAAGTAAGGCTGCAGCACTGGATTTCCCCGTGACGAATTCACGTATGTGGTGTGCCATGAGCGCTAAGTGGGACTTTGTGCGTATTGCACAAGTCCATCCTGTTTACTACAATATACATGTGCAGTTTATACCTATAGCTTTTAACGTAATATACAATATCTTTTTAGTGTCGAGCGAGCCGCCTGATTTACGCTTACAAAGCAAAGTGAACACTGCTTATTCAACCCTGCAACAAATTGAAAGGTTGTCTATGCGCTTCCTATCAGTTCCCAATCAGAAAGACTAGAAATTAGCCTCCGACACGAAGACTGAAGAGGAACCACGGAATTTCTTCCTCTTGACGCATGTATAGGATCGTCGTCAAACGCACAGCACATTTACAGGTGCTGTCGTTTGGTTGTATTATTGTTTGTTTATCGATTCAGTTATGTTGGAATTGGCCAATTCGGTCATGGTTGCGGCCGGTCAGATTGAGATAAACTTAAAAGTGAAAAATAAAGTAAAATAATATTTTTATTCGTTGTAGCTACTTTTTTTAATTTATTTCAGATATTTTATTACGTACAAATAAATATACTTAGGTATAAAAGCTAGGTTAGTTTATATTCTGCTGATAAAACTGAGTCATGTTTTTGCAAAATTTGTAAACAAAAACATATTTTTTTAATATTTATCTGTAAAGTATAGACAGACAGACGGCAATCACATTTTGCTGTAGCCACTAATAATTAATATCAATATAACATTTAGGGTTTGGATCGATTTTTTTCATTCATATATCAAACAATCTTGGTAAAAATTAATTTAAACCTGAAAGCATTTGCTTATAATGCCAATGTATTAATAGTCTCATCACGCATTCCTCGCTCTTTGAGTCTATCTGATGCAGATCCAAAGCGGAAGGATCCACATCCGTGGCGTACTCTCAGAGACTACTCTCATATTCACACATTCTACTTTCCGAGTATAGTTTGATAATTGAATCTGCGAGCACTGAGGGATTTGCACCCGGTTCGGGGTGCGCTGCTCATTAGCGGTTCTGAGCGCGACTCGCACGATAACACAATCAGTCTGCGAGGAGTGGTGCGAGGCGAGTGAGCCGAGGACACAGCTAGCGCGCGACGCAGGCAGCTACTCGTATATACTTAGACTCAGCCGTCGTAGCCGAGCGCGCAGCTTCTCGGAAAACGTTTTCCTCGTCAGAGCGCGGCGCGGTGACGAATCCCGACGTCATCTGTGACGCGGCGACCGCGATAAAAAGCAGGTGGGGGCGCCGTCGCCGGCCCTAGTGGAGACGCAGCCGCGAGAGCCGCACAGCGCCTCGGCGCCGCACCCGCAGCAACCGTAGCACCCGGCACCACACTGGCCCCCAGCCATGCCTGCATGGAGCCCGCGCCCCGCGCCTCCTCCTCCTCCTCCTCCGAGGCAGACTCCGACTCGGGGGATGACACCGTGCCCGCCGGTAACCTCCTGTGTTTTCTAAATTATAAATAGTGATACGTCGTGAAACCAGTGCTTTTATTCAGGATCAGTGTGTTGTGAGATTACAAGGTTTTAAATAGAAGGTCTTGTGAAATTCACGGTGAGAATGTGTTGTGTTGATGTTGAGCAGTTGAGAGCGGAGCTGTGTGTTTGTTGTGTAAGGCTTCGCGTGGTGAGGACGCGTGTAGAGCACAGCCTCCACTCGCCGGATGACGGCACAAATAATCCACAACATAATTGTAAAGTTCAGGCCTCGCGGGGAAGCGCACTGCTACTCTGCAATATAACGCGTACCTAGCAAATACCAACAGGTTATTGAAAATTTTTTCAACAATTTTCGGAATAATCTTTATATTTGAGAATATTATTAATATTTTGAAATACAAGGTAAAGTATTATTCGCCTACATTTTAAAGCTTGATGTTAAAAACTGCACTTAAGTGCTCAGGTTTTAAATTGTTGTGGCAACAAAACTACTGCAATATCTAATTATTCAATATATTAGGTACATACAAGTTATTCATAAAACTAAGAATTTTTTTTTACTTGTATACTATAGGTGCATTGTTTTTTTTATGTGCAAACTTTGTGCGACGGAGCTCGCAGGAATGCCGTCAGTTTAGGCCTACTTGTGAAAAACCAAACGCTTAAAATGTGACAAACATCCCGTCTCAAAAACATTTTTTAGTCGACATTTATAAAAAATATCGAGCACTACGGATATTTTCTTTCTTAGATATTCTTTGTAAATAAATTCAACATATAAAGATAATTACTTAGCCTGAGCCATAATTATTATTATTTGTTTAAAATTAAAAAACAAACCTATGATATACTGATGCTTATTACAAGAGACAGATTGAATGGTGATCTTTTTAAAATTCTATTGTCAAATGCTAAAATTGACTAGATCTTTAACAAAGTTAAAGGTGAATAGAGGTAACGTACGTAAACGTACGTACCTAGTGCAGCAAGATCCATTAAGGACCGCTCCGGTTTAAGACGTAATGAATGAACGAGGATGAAAGGGAGAAAAAGAAATTTGCGAGTGTGATATGCAGCGTTGATAGCCGCAAGGCAACCTGTCAATGTTTACTGCGAGGAAACTTGAAATTGGCAAGGTTGGCGATTGCCAATCAGACATGTATAACATTCGTTTATATTTACGAAAACTTCCCTAAAACTGAAAAGTATTATGCAACAGAAGAGTGTTTGTGAAATGTCAGTTCGTATTCCTGTCCACCTAAGCCTTAGCTGCTTCTAAAATGTATGTTGCCAACAAACATTTTCGTATATTTACTAATAGTCTTAGTGTTTGTACCCCTCGGGTAGTTGTAGTTTTGTTCAATGAACAAATGTGAGCAATGCACACAGACCCGACCACGTGGCAGCGGCGCGACGTGGTGCGCTGCGTGCGCTGGGCGGCGCGCACTTTCAAGGTGCGGGTGCCGCGCCGCCGCCTGCTGCCGCGAACTGGCCGCCAGCTGCTCGACCTCGACGACGCCGCCTGGCTGCAGGTACTAGCCCTCACTACATTTCTTAACAATGGTAGACTCTAGCATCAACAACAATCTGTCCCACGAAAAGACCGTCTCGCCCTTTGCAATATCACGACCGCACCAGAGACAGGCATCAAGTAGGAACAAATTCGCGTTTCGTCTGTTGAATGTAGGTGTCGCAAGCTTATTTTTAGTTCATTTTACTTTCCACACTTTTATGAGAGGTAGGAACAGTGGATTCGACGGAGGAAGGCACGCAAAGGAAAGGGAAATAATCCCTGTTTATAGAACGCAACTGCAATTGCAGATTTTGACCAATTGAGGTGGCCGTTTGCACACTAGCCAGCCACCTTTTGATCGAACTGTTGACGAATGTCAATATATAAATTATCCCAATGAAACCTGCCTGTAAATTGTCATGCTTCCTGCACCAAACATACAGTTACTTGGATGCCAAATAATCGGTTTAAAATCCTCATGAGTGAATCACAGAAGTTTTTTTTGGTGAAAACATGACTACACCACGACGTGGTGGCAATTATTTTCTGATTCACTGACAAATATGTGACAATACTGTTTTTTGTACAATTTTTATTTCATCTCTTGAATTACATGATTACAAACACAAAACTCAAGTTGTGTTATGAAAACTATAGCTTAGTGTGGGTCTGAGTAAGTACCATTGCGTAGTGCGTGTTGCCCCGCACGCGGACATTACGAGGAAAGCTCACCGTCGCGTCGAGTGCGGCGAGCTTCGCCAACGGACGGATTGTGCAATGACTTTAGTTACTATTGACTAGTTATATTTATATATTACTTTTATATATTTAGTTATATTTATTTTATTTTGGAATTTTATTGCATTTATCAACATTCTAGAGGGTGCTACTGCCACCCCTGGCGACGCCGACGAATTTTTGGTAGTCCAATCTTCAACTATGATTGTAACTTATAACTTGTAAGTAGTTTTTGTGAAGTAGTATAGTATAGTATGCTATATGTAGGTGTGCGAGGGATGTTCTGCGTCGGCGCGCATCTTTAGCGCATACGTGGCACACGCGCACGCCGGCGCCACGGGCCGCCCACCGCCCGCGCCTCTGCCCGAGCACCAGGCCGTCGCCGCGCCGCCCGCTCCACCTGCAACGCTTTCGCAGCCCCACAGAGACTCCTCTCTACCAGGTCAGAAAGAAACAAACCTTATTGTCTCTGTCATCGTCATTGACATGATGCAAGGTACTTATACTCGGTACTTTTACTCGTGATGTCGTCCGCGCTGAATTAAAGAAAAATCATTACAGTAATTAATGGCAATTGAATTTTTGAACTATTTGCGCGCCAAAATCCTGTGAATGAAGCTTGTGGAAGCGTCGACGCTGAGTCACCGCGAGCGAGCCCCCCCCCCCTCCACCCCGCGACCCTCGCACCATTCATCTCGCGCTATCGAGTTGATTCAACGCTTTTCTCGGAATACAAAGCAGCCGCCGGCTGATGATCGGCGGATGTATTTTACTATCTGATCACATTCAATGCTCCCTAATGCAGCATTACAGCAGTCATCCTCTGCCTTACTGTGAGTTCCGACTGCACTGATACTTGTATTGATGCATGTTGCATTTATTTAAGTCTAATGTGTTTTATCAAGGCGATGACAATAAAAAAGCATTTAGTAATTATGATACGTAATAAACATATTTTTTGTCACCATTAAACTTCATTTTTGTAAAAAAGAAACAATAATCACAAACTGACCGTTATCGGGCGAATTATCAAAGAAGTAGCGAATTGAGGAAATTGTCCGAGAAATGGTTTCAATTCACATAACGACGAGATTATTCTGCCGACGTAGGGCGACCAATAATGATTCAAACTAAACCGGGACATTATGTAGGTAAAATTATCTAATACTAACTTTCGCCCGTGAGTCGGTTCGCGTGGAATGGAAAAAACAAAAGCAAGTAATCTCTGTGTTCTTCCAGACGACCCTCTACATCTATGCCAATTTTCATCGAGATCCGTTTAGCAGTTTTGTCTACTAACTCTAACAAACATCCATCCATTTCAACATTCGCATTTATAATATTATAATGACTTAAGTAAGATTTAATTGAGTTAAAATTTGGCTTATTTATTTTTCAAATCAAACATTTGTTATACGAGATTAGTGTAACAGTGTATCCTAGAATAGAATTTCTTATAGTAATGTGCGTTTCGTAATTAAAATTAATGTAATTATAGAACTGTTATACTACTATGAAGAGTCCAGCAGTAGTCATGGCTACTTCGCCGCCGCGCGGCGCGGTATGTGTTCACTATCTCTGGGGAGAGGGGACCGGGCCGGACGATGGTGGCGATAGCGGGGTGCCACACGTTACAGACCATCACGCCCTTGACACACAGGAGTAGGCTGAGATTACTGATATCCGCTGGGCGATCTCCGCATTCGCACGTATCTTACACATTTTGGCATCTATGCATACATAGCCTAAAGTTGTTAAAATACATAAATAAGGCAATGGTGAGTGTGAGCAATGTCCCGCGTAGTGCGACGCGACACGACTCGGCGCCGGCGCTATCGCCGGGCTTGGAGCGCCGCACTCCGGTAGTTGATCAAGGAATTTCGTTACTCACAATTTTTGAGTCATCTCGCAGTGATCAGAGCGCACCCGCTGCGGCACTCCACCTGCTCCCAGAGCTTGCCGCTGACTCATTGCTACAAAAACACCACATGTATAATTTGTCGTTCACAATAACTAAAAAAAATTGAGAATTCTTTGACACATCTAGTGCAGATTCAATCTTGGTAACAACATGAATTCGTTGTGAGGGACTTAAAGCAAACATTTCCTTTATGAAATTCTGATAACTTTAGTTGCATTAGCTACTTTATTCCTCCATCATGTAGCCCTTCCAATGGTATTTAAACCTCGAGAAAATGTAGTTATTGGGGTAGAACATATTTTTGTTATCGGTGATCGAAGTATTTAAACAACGTTTAACTTATAACTAAAGCACAAGCCGGGCAGTTAGGCTTGTGTCAACACTAGAGGATATTTGATGGATATGTCAATGCGAAATAAGGTTGGAATAAGACCGATAAACAAATAAAGATATCCTCCCGTGCGCCCGCGACGCGCAGTCTGACGTCAAATGGCCTTATCATAGAGAATAGGTGTTTTTTTTTTAATTCAGCGACGATATTTGCATAGATTTAGAAATAAGCGGAATTTGTATGTAATCAGGGCCAACTGGCGGAACATGTCGCTCATATAAATAAAGATAAAAATTCATAGAATCGATAACTGATGTCTATCAGTTATCGACTTAACACGAGGGTGTTACGATTATGCCTGTGGGCAAGGACTGCTGTCGACGGGCGCTCAAATCCCGCTCGGGGCACAGACGAGGCCACACAAGTTAGGTTCTAGAGGTAAAATTTGTGGTTGGTTACTTAATATTGTACTACTTAAGCTCTCTAATATAGTATTTTACTAAAGAAGCGTGTAGCGTCATTAACCAGCATAGTATGGTGCAGACTATGAAGTTGAATTGGGCGCGCACACAACTCGGTTGCTAAGTTTCGCTAATCATAAATTTCGAGATAAAGTTTTCACTAGAAATTAGATAGGAGTACGCGGTCCCGGAGCCGGAGCGGAAGGGCCGCGCGCACCTCATATCAATGATAGATAATACGACATCTATCTTTATTATAATGAATGACATGATAACATATTATGTACATGTGAATTCATTCAATGTGAGATATAATACTATCTTACGCGATTAAATTAGATTAGATACAGAGAAACGGGATCAGTACACAATCAAAACCGTTAAATGTAAAACAATTACTAAAACTATGAAGATTAAAATAGTACGATTCAAAGAGGCTTGCACAGGATTCAGTTACAAGATAAGTTGTACAACGATGTGAATTTTTAGTTCTGCTTCTAGCCCAAGGTCATGTCTGCTTCAACACTGCCTGCCCAGCAATGACGTACGACGATCGTTCGCAGAGGGGTTCCTTTTTGATGTGTGGAAAAATTTACGATTTCAACCCATAAATTAAAGTGAGACAAAAATAATAATTATGAATATGTATTTAGCCTTACAGATTTATTAGGGATTCATTCAATTTGTTTATCCTTATTTTGAGACTCAAGTTATAAAGTAGAGCAGTGCGGCGGATGTGTTTAGGTTGTAGGTTCTGTCGGATCCGGGCCGAGCCAGCGAGAGAGATCGTGACTAAGATTGTCTTGCAACATGTTACCGCTCGCCGGACGGAAGTGAGTCACTACATCTACACTACAGTAGGAAGCTTGACTCATAGTTCCGTATTGATGCGGATTTGTAATTCTCATGGCTTCAGCTTGCGAATCTGTAACAAGAGGCCGCGAGGGCGCCTCGGCCGCGTGCCGTGACTCAGCCTCCGCAGGCTGAGGGAGTCAGACGCCACAACTGGCGGCATCATTATGTAAAGATTATACTTTGCTATTTCACAGAGTTTAGTTTTAATTTCTACATAGATCTTTTAATAACACGCATTTATCTTATTTTTAAGTAAGTTGCGTTGCCTTGACTTTTCGTAGCGATTAAAGACAAAAAAAAACGTAATAGCTATTTCGAGGAAATGTTTATTTCATTTAAAAAGGTAGACATGTCGGCAACTTTTTCTACAAAACCGCAAAATAACTTCGGAGTTTCCTGTTACTCAAGTTGTTAATCACAATACTGTGGTCGGGCGGCGTCGTTGTCTTCGACGTAAGTGATGGCGGGTCGCGATTGGCCGCCTCACGCCACTCCCACGCCCGGGGCGGCGATACGTTATGGCCCAAGTCCTACTTGTCCTCCACACCACATCATCAGGTGCGGCCAAGACAACATGGCATTTTATTCACTCATTCTCTTAAAGTCTTCTGCGGTCGGCTGCCTCCTCGACCCGATCTCCCCTGTCCACTCTCTATTTCAGCAACGGCAGTTCATCAGCGCTTATGCGACAGTCGGTCGGCGTCAGTCAGAGTCAGCCGGGGGTCAGCCGGGCTCCGTCTGACCGGCGCCCCGCTGTTCAATTGATCCGTCTCGTCTGCGTGTTCAATTAGTATAGTACCAATGTGATACGAATATAGTGATCGTAGAAAATGATGAGTTACTACATCACACAATGCCACACAATGCCACACTACGCACTCAGAGTCGGTTCTCAGTTTCGAGGTAAACATTATAACGCAATGTAATTTCAAACATAATTGATGTCACTTCATAACAAAATGAAAACAAAGATCCGCGTGAAACAATTTAAATTTAGGCCGCCGCCACCGCCGAGAGCTGCGGGGTTGAAGATGCGGCGGACATAAAGAACGATTGCCCCGTGACACCTCACCCCGCTCGGAACCTTGCGACCCCTCCACCCTGCCGCCCCATCGCCCAGCGACCTCTCGCGAAATATTGCTCACTCGCCCCTATCACTGGAAATCAAGTCCAGATTTCATAAATTGATTTATATTGTTTTTATAACAATTTGTGTTGGCAATTGGCGGTATAACTATTTCAGTGTACTCATTCCTCTCTATACATTATCAGGAGATAAGCCATGGTGTTTTGTGCCTATTTGATTTTAGCGATTAGAAGCGGTGTTGCTTGAAAACTCAACCAAATTAGAAAGACAGAACGAAGCAAAAGTTGTCATGTGTTAAGTAAAATTATATGAATTCCCAAGCAGCGACTGTTCATATTAATACAGGTCAGTGTGAGCTAGTTAATGATGTGTCTGAAGCAAGTTTGGCCGGGATATGGTTTTTCCAAGCTATTTTTGAATAGTGAAAAGCTTCGTGCGTTTTGTTTATTACGACGACGTTCAGTGGTAGGGTGAGCGCAGCGGGGCGCGGGGGTGCATTAGCAAGTCAATGCGGACTCCCCGCCGCGCCCGGCTTACCGGGGAGTCAATGCGGGTTCCGCGCCGAGCCCCGGCTTACCGGCGAAAAGCTCACAAAACACAATTAAACTTCACTCAGGCCTCTTCATAAGAAATGGCCATACATCACGTGCGCGCGTGCGGCCACGTGCCACGTGCACCTGGCTCGGGCCCCAGTCTTGCCACAATTCACACTATGAGGACACTAATATAAAGCAAAAGAAATATTGACTATCACGAGAGTTTGTAATATCAACGTGAATTTCGCGCATAGCGTGAGTGTACGAGGCTCGCGGGCAGCGGCAACAGCCTGGGAACCGCCGCGCTTTCACATTCCGCGATGAGTCACATGGAATGCGGTCCGAGGAGCACATATTACTCTTATTTAATATCACATATTTTTCTGCGCCTAATTAGTTGCGAAACTATTACAATAAATAGGAATGCATTCATCCTTCTCGCGGATACCATCTATAATTTCTTGATAATTTATTAAAACTGAGGTCGTTGTACGGTTTTAACTGGCCCATGATTCAGTCGCAGCTGGCGACAACGCAACGGAGAACACAGTGTGTGGTTTTTAAATAGTTTATTTAATGTGTAAATAATTCTTGTTACTATTTCAACTAGGCTCTATATTAAGTCACAACAATAGTCAAATGGCGGGATTTGGACCATGGACGATGATGACTTACTTCATTTTTAATTCAATGTCTTTTGGAAACTTTTCTAACAGGAGATATTTTTAGTCGTCGAGTAGCCAGCACTGACGAGAAGTGGCGAAGCCCCACGGCCAGACGGGGCGTGGTCTGCGCTGCTACCGCCCCTGCCCCCCATCCCGCCCACAAACCAAGTTAAGCTACGCGATCAACTTAAAATACGGGAGATAGCAAACGATAGCATCACGATCTAATCATGTTCGCACTCTGATAAACCTTAACTGCTTCATCTTAAAATACCACCAGTTTGAACAGATATACTTACAAAAAAATGTTTACGCGACTGACAGAAGGTTAATACTATATTTATTCGTTAACTACGTATGCTGTATACAATGGCCGATCATCGAGTGAGGTTTAGTCCAATTACAACACTTGCATTTCGAATAAAAAAAAATTCTAGACAGTAATTACATCTAGGTATAAACTTATATTTGTGATAAAAATTTCCGTGTTGTTTGCGTGCCTGTGATAGCGGAAGCGATCTATAATTAATGACATTTGATATCGCGATTGTAAATATCGGATGTATGACTCAACAGAGATAGGATATAGGTTAGGTGTCGCGCGAACGCGATTGTGTAAGATTGCAGTCACTATGCCGCCGGTGCTAGGCTTAAAGTCGTATTGGAAAATAGTTAACCCATAATAAAGATAAAAGTAACATGAACGTGAGAATGCAGTACTGTCATTACAAAAGACATGCACTGCGCCTGCCTTAGACTACGCTGTGCACGCGTTAGGCGCCGTGCGATGTACGGTTAGGGAATCTGGAGGTGTTTTACATAAAAATCTATAGTCCTTTGTTTGCAGTGAGATGGCAGAACAATTAGCAAGATAAGCCGTATCTTTTAAATGTATCTGTATATAAATAGTCGGTCAGTGGTACGCGACTAATTGCTTCTTATTAATATCCTATCGTTCGCGCAAGTCACTGCTAATTAAATGGTTATTTGTAAGAAATGTCGGAGTCTGTCTCATTGCGAGGAGCGAGGCAATTTTTTTATAAGTGGGTCACATACAATTTCCGCAACTGTACCTAGGCGCACACGTAGGGCGTACAGACGCGGAAATTCGAGGTGCCCCACTTCAGGAGAAATGCCTTATTCATGGTAACCAGACAAACTCCACTTCTGCCTACAATTTTTTTTTATAATGAAGATGTTAGAATGTTTTTGTTAATTTACTAATATTTCCTTTAACCACTCCAACTAAGCTAGGCTTATTTGTGCTACGATATGGTTCACCACAATAGTCGAATGGCGGAATTCAAACTCTCGACCTCAAGATCGGTAGTCCGTACCCCAAACCATTAGGTGCTTAAACAAATAAATAATTAGATAGCAGTGAGTGCAAGAAGAGATAATTTGTAGATAAGAAATAGGAAGAAACTAGCCGTGTATCACTAACAGACTTTTATTTGTACAGATACATTTATAAGCTGCGTTGTATTGATTTTTGTTCCGCGTCTGGCTTCGAGATCGTTAAACGATTGTTGCTTTTAAGCTGGAACACCGCCAGTCTCCCTGGCTGTACCTAGCCCAACACGTTAGTGTCAATTACGTCACAATCTCTACCTTTTCAATACAGTTATTATTGAAGATCATTCAGTGATGTACATCACATACATAGGTACAACAAACAATACTTAAGTTGTGTCTAAAAAGTTTACAAATCTATTTTTGCTTTTACATTGTCATCCTTCACCTTGGATAAGATAGATAATGTTTAGATTACAATTGTCATGAAATTTAATACAAAATTTTTAATAATGAATATTGTATGAACGCAGATATTTTAATACAATAACTTCTGGTATAAACAATCATTCATAGATCACAAACATTGACTTTTATAATTTAAATAGGATTACTGAATCGGCATATCCACTTTAACAGAACTAGCAACACAATTAAAGTCACCCCCTGTTATCATGCAATCACATAATAAATAAAATCACCGAATCAAGACTTATAAGCGATATAAATGCACCCCGTGTGTAGCGAGCGGGGCAGGGCGGCATGCATTATGCAACACTCGCCAACACACAAATGTAATCTTATCTTATACGGTTTTTGCAATTGATCAACTGATGCAACACAACCTTACTTAAAATTAAAATATTTTACTTAAATAGTTTATCATATTGGAACTGCTAATGCTATTTTCGTAATAACCGGAATTTAAGGAAAACAAAGAAATCAAATGACACTGTTCCCCCGCGGCTCCCCGCCGGCCGCTAAGCTCTGTATGGTCCCTACAGCATCTCTACTTACATTGATTAACTTGTCTGATTGTGGTGTGGTGCGAGTCTTCTGACACGGTCTACAGCAATTGTTTATAACGGCAAACAAGTCAGAATAAAGGTATTAAATGTGAAGATATCTAATCTCGAGAACTAGATACTTATAAATTGTTTTTTTTTTTAATAAAGTCACAATAATAATAACGACATAGGTACTGAAAACACATAAATAGAGTTCCTTAAGAAAACTAGCTAAAAGTACTGTTGTAATATTGTAAGATTTGGATTCCTATATCATTTGAGATAATCAAAAGAAGGGAGCGCGGAGTGGAGAGTGTGCGAGGGCGGGCCGGGGCGGCGCCCTGCCCCCGGCCGCTCACTTCACTGGCACTTGCTCGCTTCCGGTCCTACGTCCGGACGCTTCGAGCTCTCGTTCAAGTTTGCCAGACAAACAATTTGACGACTTGTATAGTTATAAAAAAAACAGTGACAAAAGTGTCGTGAGGCAAATTAAATGTGCGTGACGTAAAGAATGCGACGTGACGAGCGAAAGGCGCGCTGCGCGGTGGTGTGCGCAGGGCCATGCTGTGGCTGAGCGCGGACCGCCGGCTGCAGCTGGTACCCCGCCTCTGTCCCGGTTTGTGGCTCCGCCGCCTTGCACCACAGCAAACCTAACCTTTTACCCATCATTTTGATCACAAAATCGGTGTTACCAACGCCACTGAACACAAGCGCCTAAAATATTTTATCAGCAACATTTATGTCGTACACAATTCGAATGTGTGCCGCCGGCAGCGACGTGACGGCGACGTGCCGGCGGCGGTCTGGTGGTCCTGCAAGTAATAGTTTCTGCACCTCTTCTTCAACTCTTATCTGCCATCGTAATCTTCCGCAGAACCGTACGCTTCCCTGAGCGGGTGCTCGCGGGGCGGGGCGGGCGCGGGGGGCGGGCAGGTGCAGCTCTGGCAGTTTCTGCTGGAGGAGCTGGCGGCTGGCGCGCCCGGCATCTGCTGGGAGGTAACTTGGTCTATTGTTTCAGTTCTGTCGTCTCTTTATTGTAATATTAAAAACGATCGGATTATTGATTCTTCATTTTTCGGCTAACCTCGAAACGTTATGTTTCTAACTTAGTTTGAGCATTTTCTTTTTTTCAACGCGTCAGCTTTACCTTACCAACCAAACACAATTTCTTTGATGCGTTGTTTTGCTATTGTTAATTCGATAATAGTAAGTAAGTATTGTGTGTGGTGTATCAGGGAGCGCCGGGCGAGGGCGAGTTCCGCCTGGCCGACCCGGACGAGGTGGCGCGCCGGTGGGGACGGCGCAAGCAGAAGCCCAACATGAACTATGACAAGCTGTCGCGCGCACTGCGCTATTACTACGACAAGAACATCATGACCAAGGTAACGGACTGATTCAGAGCGCGTGGTATAACCTACACCACAAATGACATAAACTATTTTTGATGGAATGTTTTTTTCATTCATCCAGGTCCATGGCAAGAGATACGCGTACCGTTTCTGCTGGGCAGGGCTGGCGGCGGCATGTCAGGCGCAGACCAGCGACGCGCCACCTTACTGGCGCTGCCCTCCCCCGCATCAGCCCGACTGGCCTCCGCCTGCACCCCCGTCCGCGCCCGACTCCACACAACACCAGAGTTGCCACAGGCCTTAAAGCCGTTACAGAAAATAACATTTGCGTATCTAAGCAAAGACCAGCTGCGCTTCAGTAAAATAAAAAACAGTACAGACTCGGCGACTACCGAGAGGGATGAAAATGGAAATTGTTACAGAATATATATTCTGTAAATCTAGCTTATACAAGCTAGATTTGTCATCGGACCCATAACGCCTGGCAGTCGGGTAAGCCGCGGCGAGCGAGCGAGCGAGCGGCACTAACGGATATATGGGTGATAGCATATAGGCGAACGGAGCATAAGTAAAAAGTAAATAAACTAAAGATGTAACGTTTTCCTCAATACTTTGCATCTTTACAAGAAAGAGTAGAATGAACCAGTGGCGGACTGTAGTGCGGGCGGAGGGCCCTCGCTGCTCGTGTATTTCTATGTATTGATGCTGATCAGATTATTTGAAGTGTAGAATGTACCTAATTACTTAATGGAACTTTGAAATACGCTTAGGCTATTTCGTATGTATTAAGATTGTTCATGGTTATTGTTAACTTGAGATGGAAAACAAAATATGTTGTTGACGAATTTCCTATTAATTTTATAATGATTATAATAAATACGACAGACATTGAGTTGACATTCGACATTGTTATATTAATTAATAATTGAAATGTTAATTCACATGATTTAGATCATAAACGACTCATTGTAAGCCATTTTTAACATAATTGTAGTTAATAATAAAAACGGGTTAGTTATTTGTCGATCTGTTTGTTAAGTTCTTATTGTTTATTTTTGTTTTATTGTATAGATTGTTACTTGTATAGCGGGCGGCGGAGCAGAGCGGCGCTGACGCTCACAAGGTTCACTTCTGCTTATTGTTAGAGCTATTGCAATTTAACTAACGAATGTGAAGAGCGACTTTCTTTATAAATGTATATAAATAACGTCACACGGGATTGCGTTCTTCTCCTATATCGCTATTCAGTTATAGTACAGCAAACCCGAGCGTCAAGGAAGCGCCCAACGTCCGGTGCGCCGCTGCGCTTAGATAAGTAAATACATGTATTTTCTCACTTATTTGATTCGGTTGTTTTGAATTGTAGATATAAGTATACATGTTTATTTCATTAATGTATTGTTTTGCCAAATGGTTGTTCGACAGTGGATGCAGGCGGGGACTGTGTCCGATGCCCGTGCTAATGAGAGCCAACACGGACTATCTGCTGTTGTGTATGCAGTCCGTGTATGGCCGCTCTTTGCATAACTGTCCAGTACAAGTTGTCAATAGCAATAAAGTTCCTCCTCGATGTCTACTGATTTTTATTTGGATAAAGAGAGTCGCTGTGAGCGCGGCCAGTGGCGGGTAGTCGCCCCCAATTGGTCGGTCGTATCGCTGCCAACACCCGTCTTCAAACAAAAATATGATCCTTTTTTAGGACATTTAGTGACAACATGCCAAAAATAGGTATTTTCTCGTCTTCTAAGAATGCCCTTCCAAAGATTTATTGAAATTTGTCCAGCGATTTAGAAACGCCCAGGGGACGAACACACGAACGTTGATCAATCTTAATCGAATGGATATGGATTTGTTATTGACGAGCTATAGCTATAGCTATAGCGACTTAGCGACGGAGACTCGCTCGCACACATCTGCGTGATCTGAAGCTGTATCTTTTTAAAGTAACTATTTAAGACCTACGTGAGCAGAATATTTGTAGTTAGTTACAGTCTATGTCTAAACATTGATTGTCTGCTATCTGCTATGTATTTGACCGAAACATTGCTAAAGGCACCACAGCCTATAACATTGCGATTCCGTGAATACATAATCCTTACGTCATGACGTACATACGTATGCACAGTAATGTTCCATGTTAAACGACGTGACGTGTGATGGGGAGGGGACAAGCTCTACCCTTGAAGCGACGGCTGCCCGCGATACCGCGATACAGCGCCCACGCGCTGCCCGCCCCGCGCGCCGCGCTCGCCCCGCAACCCCGCATCAGCACCGCAGCCAGTGGTGCGACACCTTTTGCATTTTTACTAATTACAACCTTTTTTTAAGAAGTGTACGTGCAGCCGCGGTCATGACGATGGAAATAGTACATTCCATATACACATTCCTCATTACAATTATAGTAGGCCAGGTTTCATCTTATTCACAGTATTTTTACTTCCTTGACTTATAGTTTCAATCAGTTAAAAAAAATGTTTAAATACGATATGGGGAGCATTATTTCAACTCCTCGGCCTTATTGTATTCACGTAGGGTCGGCGTGCAAGGTTTTATAAACTGTAATGTTTTGATTCAATTTTAAGAACCAGACAGCAAGCTTATTAGAAATCCTATGCAACCCTATTATGAAAATATTAACTAACAGCGTAGGGTGTGAGTAGCCGTTAGCAATAGCGAGCAGTGTTGGCGGCCCCTGGCAGTGGCGCGGTGCAGAGCGCGATGCGCGACCATTGCTTCGCGAGATGGCGACCAGCGCGGCCGTGCTGCCCGCTCTGCTGCTGCCGCTGATTCACCTACTCCTACGTAAGCAGCTCCTTCTTTGCTTTGCCTCACTTGTTTTCTTACGGCTACTATTTTTCGTCATCATTGCGTAATAATTATCTAGATTTACAACCCTCAATGGTATTGTATCAAGGAATAGTGAAACCAAAACTCAAGCCAAATACTGGTGCGGCACCTACCATGGCCTACCTAACACCTGAATAAGTACTTACATGGTAGTCTAACAAAGGCCCATTCCATTCCACTTTCCGTTTCTTACTTTCATCTGGTTAAGAAAGAGCGGCCACTTCATACCGCACTTAGCGCCGCCTCATTTAATGCGGCCAGA